CTAGCCAGCTACGGCTACGATTTTTACGCTTAAGGAAATAATGTAAATAATAAGCTTTAATATAGAAGATTTTGCATAAATAGTGGAACAGCAGATTATATTAGTGTAATGACTTAATAAACGCGGGAAAATTTCTTTTTAAAAGTGGAATGAAACGAAAAATGATTCTAGAATAGCTTTGGTCACACAGTATTGCATGATCATACAAGATATACTTTGATTAATTACAAGTGAAGCAATTGCCTCGAGAATATCACAAACTGTTCACAAATGACAATGAAAACCAGGAATAATAACAAGGAGAGCTAAATGCGACCTTTTAGGTCATATATGCGGGAAGAGAGTTAAGCGAAACAATCCTAGAGGCTTAATTGGCGAGAAGGATCACCACAGCTTCGATCACAAGCAAAAACGGATGCTCACCCGATAGAGAGCAACCAAATAAGAAGACAAAATAAAGCGGCTCTTCGCTTCGACATTGAACGATCATACTTGAGCGGCCATCGAAAATAGATCAACTGAATGATTAGAAGTTGAGACATTGAAGCCTTTCGAATATCTTTGAAGCCGCCTCACCTTATCAATGTTAAGCATCGTTAAAGACAATCCAGAAACAGCCAATCCTGTCCAGTTGAAATAATGGACTACAGCACAAAGATGAATCTGTTGCAAGAAATCGTGTTTTCGAATAAGCAGCTCATTTGGATGGCAAAATACTAAACACAACGGAGATGTTCTTGGAGTGATGAAATCTTTTGCGTATTCCTTTTCTAGATTTCCTTATTACACTGTTACTTTTGCTTTGTATCAAGAATTCAAGAAATGAGTTCTTCACTCATAAGCTGTATTTATTTATAAGGACAAGATACGACCTCAAGCAGCAATTCACATATTTCAAAGAACATCGACGTTCAATGTATTCAAAATCAAAAATCCCAAATCAAACGGTCGCTTAGAAGAGTGCAGAGAAACATTAGAAGCTTTGCAGCGCACTGATACGTCAAAATCTATTTAACTGTTGCAAATTATCAAGAAGCTTCATGATTTGTCCATGAATATGTATGATTGTAGAGAGTAATTAAACCAAAGTATTTATTATTTTTTGTTGAAATGTCTTTAGATTGAACTGCGTTCTTCTGCTCAAGTACAAATAAATTTTATAAGGGTAGCACTTAATGCTCGAAATTTTTTGTCTTTTAGACACGAGCATAGC